CAAATACAAACTACCCCCCCCCAAATATCATCACAGCAGGCAGGCAGAGGTCTTTTCAGTGACTCAGGGGTGAGTGTCCCTCTCACCTCCCCAGACCGACAACCCATCTGCCCTCCTATGGATCACCATCGCTCCCTCTGCCTCATCCACCCACATGGAGACAGAGGGACGGATCCGGCTTTCGCCGGCGCCTCCCCTGCCCTGCATGGCACTTGCCCTTCAGAAAAAGCAAAGGACTGGCTAGGAGATTCCTGTGAGAAAGGAGCTGCATGAGAGAACAAACAGACCTTTATTATTTGTTTATCGATTTATTCACCAGGAGGATGTAACAACCGGCTCTCGGCAGCAAATGCCCTTGTAACTCTGTGCTGCAGTGACAAGTTGGCTAAACAAACGTTTTTCTGCGTCAGAAAACAAAGACCTGTCAGCACAGCAGATCAGGGATTCTCTGCTTTTACTTTTAATTATTATTTCCTTACACAGAGGATTTAATCTCCTCTCCTCCTGGAAGCTCAAAGTGCCTCATTCAGCCTATTTCACAGCTGTGACTACCGAGGTCACCCCGGGTCAGGACACCTCCCTCCGCCGCATAATAGCGACCAGTCCCCAAAGTGGACATCTACGCCGTGCATCTGTTGTTGCAGATGAACTGGTGTCAAAAGGAGGAGCACCGCCACCGCCGCAGCCCTGGCAGGGAGGGGGCGAGGACAAACGTTACCCAGAGAGTCCCAGACAAAAGATGCTGCTCCTCAGGCCTTTTGTGTAGCTGTGAAATATGGTCAAAGGTTACGTTTTACAGCTGTTCCAGCCTCAAATCAGCGAAACCTGTCTATCTTAACACTTAATTGCATTGCTAAGCTGCTGATAAACTAGGACGGTATAAAAAAATTATGCTGGGCCAAACACATCCCCAGGGAAAGTTTGTGGGAACAGGGAGAGTTGCACCAGACAATGAATCCACTTTATTGTGTTTTAAAAGCCTGGTTACCTTTAACAAAAGCTGTACCATGGACGCTGCAGATTTGCTAGTTAATATCTCTCCAAAAAGGCTGCAAGTGTTTACAAAAGAAGGGCATAGTGCAAATGCCCACGGGAGAGGACGAGCACGTGCCGTGCCGCACGTGTGCCCATCAGGAAACCATGTTGAGCTAATCCCCTCCCCGCGCAGCCACCATGGCTCCAGCCCTAGAGAACACGGGCCTTAAATCAACGCTCTTATCTCACAAAAGGAATTTAAGCACAACGCTTTGAAAGTCACTTTCTCCTGGCCATATGGCATCACCGAGCCTGGTCGCGTTGGAGCAGCGTTCATTTGCATGTGCGAGAGACAAATCTGGCTCTTGCGTTGCGGGACTGATAACAGGGCGAGGGTAGAATTTAGCGCTGTTTGGGTTTCTGTGCAAAATCTCGCCGAGGCAAATTTCTCTCACCTCTCAACAGAAGTGCCAAATGCTGAGGTAGCCCCCAGCAGAGCTCGCCCGCGATCACAGCCCATGCCGATCAGCAAAGCTCCACCAGTACAGGGCCAGGGTAAAAGAGAAGTCTGCGACAAAAACCATGATCTGAACCCAAATCTTCCCAAAGCTGGCAACGTCTACACCCACATTAAATCAAACAGGAACAGTTACAGGGATATAAACAGCCGCGAACACAGACTTCAAGACAGCAAATTCACAGCCATTCACACATTTAACTTCCCGATAGGGAGGTATTTTGAAAACTCATGTTGCTGAGCTGCTCTGTGATATGAAGGGGTGGGGGATCTCAGGCTTCAGCACGAGGAGGAGCCAACAAAGCTGCTAACGCTTCAACATAAGCCTCTCCAGCAGATCTCTGTGCCATGCATTTATGCAGGATGGCAAGATTTTTGTTTTGCTGAGGCAGTGCCGTATGGGCAATCTGGTTTGCCTTATCAACGAGCCAAGGCTGAAAGAAGAGAAATGCTCTTCCCCACCATTTGTTTAAATTTCCCTCCTTCCCCCAGATAAAGCTGCATAATTCCATAAAAATATCTGCAAATGTAATAACATAATGGGCTTGTCATCGGTTTCCACATTTGGCATTGAAAATCTGCAAAGCTTGGAAAGAAAGAGAATTCCTAATACTTACCGCTGCTAAAGAGCCCAGCGATAAACCGGGCCTGGATCCAGGTGATGGAGCACACAACCACCAAAACGCCTTTCCATGGCCAGCACCTACTCCTACACAACTGCAAATTATTCCTTTCTTGGCCCTCTTGAAATAATGCAAGAAGGTTATTTCATCACTTCTTATTAATGGGCCTCATCTCCCCTCTTCGGGGTATTTGCACGTCCCTAGTATTCACTATTGCTCTGAACTGATTTTATTCTGCAGCTCAACACTGGGAACGCCGCAGAACAGCCACACGACCTGACAATTCATTCAGAGCCACACCACCAACCTCCTCGCATGACAAAATGGAACCATTCCCAGCTCAGTGCTTCCCACCATGTACCACACTTTGCCCTCTCCAAGGCTGCTTCTTCAGTATTTTTGCCCAGTATCCCTCCCAGTGAGATTACCCCTGGGAACACATGAAACTAGAGTAGCCCTGTTTCATGGCTGTACCGAGCCTTCAAAGGAGGGCTTGGCGTCTTTAGAGATATGTCACTGTACCTCCCAAGGGGAATCTGAACCGGCACAGTCTCTTAGCAACACCCAGCACGTATCACAGGTAACTCTTAATTAATAGTAATAGCGGGAGCTGTGAGCTGAAACCCTGCAACACGCTGAGCACCTTCCACCTCGTTTTGGAGAACCAAGACGTACAGACACAAATGCTCTGTGGGCACTGGCAGGAGAGGGATGTGCAAGCCCTTGTAAGGGTAATACAGGTAACATTGAAATATTGATTCGTTTAAAAGAAATGAGGATTTGATTGTATTAGAGGGAAAAGCATATCCCCTGCAGTAAAGGCTGACGTCTCCTTTGTCAGTAATCCCTCTCCCTAAGACATTTGTTACAAATCTGACTGGTAGGGAAGAAGTCCCACCCCACACTGAGACAATGCAGCTCTAAATTTTAACTTAATCATCACAAGCCTGTAAAGCTGATCTTTATGACAATGTGTGTGGCAAAATTAAAGGTGCTGGCAAAACGGATGTCCTGCTATTTGCGCGATACGGATTCACAACTCAAATCTCTTTCTCTAAGATAAGGAAAGCATTTCTCCAGCTCACTTACCTTTATTTGCTGCAGGGGAGAACAGCTTCTCAGAGCCTACAGAAGCCTGAAAAAGAAAGAGAAAAAGAGGGTGAGTAATACTAAAGGAGAATTTAGGAAGGCTTGCTCACAAAAACCACAGCTCATAAAACAAGTCGGTTATCTGTAGACCTGCAATTACACATTGCACCTGGAGGGTGCAATGTTGTGCCATTAAAGAAAAAGCATGCATCCTAAGATGAAAGCAAAGCATATACAAGTACTGTCCTGATCTCACCCAACTATATCCTCCTGTCTCGTTTATTTAGGCAGCCATGCAATGCACAGCTATTTTATCCATGATTCCTCATATAAAAACAAAACCAGTGAAACTGCTATCAAGCTGAAGGAAAAAATAAATTTCAAAGCCCCTCTCATCGAAAATAAGCTCATTTCTTGCTGAACATGCAAAATGTAATTTGTGTATTGGAAACACAAGTTGCAACCGAACACATCCATATGAAAGAGGGTGTTACTTAATATTATGCCAAATGATAGGTACATGCTGCTATGCACTTAGTTGAGTACGAATTAACGACTTCCTCTTGGAAGAAGCCCGTCTCCTTGCAAACTGGGTTGCACTATGCTGTTTGAACTCCACGGCAGTGTATTTGTGCTCCTCACAGCTCTGGGAAATAGTTAAAGAAATCCAATTAACCTAAACCTTGTAAACAGCTTCATGATAATCAGGGTCACTGGGTTACAGACAAGATGATAATGACAGACAGGGAAAAAAAGTCCATTCATCGTAAATAAAGCTTTTATGAGTTAATTTGATGGCTTCCTTCCCTCCCCCCACTGATATCAAACAGTCAACCTATTTCAGCATAAGCTTTTCCTTCTCGCTATCTGATAAAATAGCAGGTAGCCTCTACAGAATCAAAGCTGGTCTGGGAGCAGGGAGCACGATCAACATTACTACTATCTGTAAGATAGCTGAAAATATCATCAACGTTTTGGCACTGACTGCTGCACGAATAAAATAGGGTGAAGTACAAAGCTGAAGAGCAAAAGATATTGAAAGAGAAAAAAACCTTTCTCCCCTGGCTCTGCTTTAAAAACAATAAATTAATTCAACACATAGCTGAACTAAGTTGATTTTCTTTTTGATTTTATTGATTTTATTCTAAGGTGCCTTGGGAGATTTGCATGATAAAGAGCACTATGAACTCTATTACATTGTTATATATTCTAAATGACGACTCAGAAGGAAAAAAACAAATAGTAAAATGCAAGAATATCTGCATGAGCTATAGTAAGAAGCAAGAGAGTGATCTATTAATGTTATTTCTAAGGAAAGTGGCACTGCAAGCACTGAATGTCTTACTTAATGCAAATGCATAAAAAAGAGAGGGAAAATAACATGAAAAATAGGTTGAGGCTGAGACACATAAGAAAAAAATTCTGAATCATGTCCACGACAAAGCTGCACGTGTAGCTGTGGCATGTATGATCGTTACACAGCTCAGCAAAAGGATCCTAAAATCTTAGGGAAAATCAGTTACCTGCACGATCCCTTCACTGCATGGATTAAAGAGAGGAAGAACCAGGATTAAACAAGGTTTTGCCTCGGCTGGTTTGCAAAGAAAGTGTAACAGCGTCACACAGCAGCAACAACAGTGGTGCATAAAACGTTTGACAGCCAACTCCGAATTTACAACCCATTGTTAAGAGATTTTTCACTTATCATCAACACAAAGTCACCACGGATGCAGAACACATCTGCAGGCTCTGGGGACTCACCCATACTAACAGCTTACACAAAGCCAGGACCTAGCCTCAAAGCACTCCCTTGTAAGCACTAGGACACGTGGCAGGTGGATAAATAAGATTCCCCCATTTTATAGGCAATGAAACTTCGGCGTGGCTTGCACTACAGCCCAAGCAGTAAATCGGCAGCTGAGCCACAAATCCTAAGTGCCCGTTTCTGACGCCGGGGTGCGGGGTGTGCAGCCCACGAGAGGAGCCCGTTTGCTGGCAGCCTGCTCGGGAGAGCTGCCCTTCCACGGGGTGCCGTCCAGAGCAAGCCGCCGGCTGCAGGACCCGCTCCGGCAGCAGCAGCCACCCCAGCTGGGAGAAGCTTTATGCTTTGCCTGGTCTGGAAAGTTGGGTCCTGCTGACACCACTTTATGGCAACCACCAGCTCACTCCCTTCTGCATAACTCAGTACCGAGGATTTAATACAGACTGGTGCTGTTTAATCATGAGCTAAAGATCTCGGTGCTACAGGTCCAGACTACATAAAAACAACGTTTAAGGAAGTCAAGGAAGAAAATTCAGTTTTAAGAGAAAGTAAACCACACGGATTATTGCTCAGTCTTCTGATACCAGTATGTGGCACCGCCTTCAACAATCAGAGTCAACATTTACAGAGCAGAGTTTTCAACATCACAGCCACAGTTTACAGACACAAACCTTCACACCTGGAGTTTACAGTAACTTTTGCTCTCACTTCTGGTGATTTCTAGCTCCAGATCTGAGCAGTTTTTGGCATGAGCACCATTCTGAAACAGTGAATGCCTGTGCTATAGGATATTCTGCGAGCTGCTGTAAAGGCAGGAGGGAAGCTGGGGGAGGAAGAGCCTGAATACATCATTCAATTCCATCAGTCACCCTTTAAAGGAAGCATACAATAAAACCTATGTGTCTGAGGGAGCCCACTAATGAGTGAAAAAAATCCAGCAAACCAACGCATCTGCTAAAACAAGTCCCCTCCCAAATTTTCTGCTGTTTCAAGCAAATCATTTGCATATGTTTAAGAAGGGATTAAAAAAAAAAAAAAAAAAAAAAAAAAAAAAAAAAAAAAAAAAAAAAAAAAAAAAAAAAAAAAAAAAAAAAAAAAAAAAAAAAAAAAAAAAAAAAAAAAAAAGTGGAATTCTTCCCTTGTGAGCAAAACCGGGCGTTTGGAGTCCTTTATGCGGAAGGGTTCAAGCCATCCCAAGAAATCACACTTTTTTTGGATTACAAAATGAAACTAGAAATTTCCTTTTTTTCTCCTCTCATTGCCTTCTGCGTGTCTCCATCTGAAGGACCACCTCAGGGACAAGGGCAGCTGGAGCAGCTCCGTGCACCCCTCAAGTCTTTCACTGCCCCCCAAATTCCTTTTTGTTGCTGCATAAGGCAGAGAGACATCCCCAGCCTGAAGCTCACAGACAAAAGACACCTCTAGCCTTCCTTGTACATTTGCTGCTCGTCTCCCTCCCCCACGGAGCACCACAGCAGAACCCAAGACCGGCATGTTTTCATAAAAGCTGCTGCTTGCAAAGTCCCACCCTCACCCCCAATAACGACCTTTGCATTTTAAGCATATCTAACATCTGTCCCAACAGTGAAACACACGCAAGTGATTTTGGAGAGCGGCAGAGTTTCTGAGGTAGCCTCCCATTGCTGAAACTTGTAAGACCCAGCACCCTTTCGATGACACGCTAAGATCTGCACCAAGCCTTGCAGGTCCCCCTTGGTGGTTTATTCAACAGTTAGCAATTCTCTGTCCTATTTTGATTTTCTTTTCTACACCAGATCTAAAGGGGAAAATGTCTCCAGCCAGTTCTGTGACAGTCTGAAACCAGGCTGAATACACTGCAGAGAAAAACAACTTTTCTACCCTTTTCTGCTTTTGCTTTTCTTCTTCTGAAGAAAAATTAATTACACTTCTTTGATTGTTATTCTGCTGAAGTATGGTTCTAATCCTTATTAACATTCTCTAAAGTCATGCATGAAATATGACTTTTGCACCACACTCTGTGGCATATGTTTTCTCTTTCCAGTGTATTTTTCAAACTATCTTCAACCCTCACTGCTGTTCATTATTTTAAGATAGGTTTAAAGTTTGCCACAGTCTCGAAACAGATCCAAGAGCAAGCAGAGGAGTGGTGCTCCAGTCCCTCATCCTTCCTTCCCTTGAAGCTAGCACATATAAACACTGATTCAATTTTCAGCGCTAAAAGCTTAGCAAAGACAGTTTTTTTGTCAAAATGTAAGGTGGTAACCACAAAGGATGCAGCACACCCTCTCCTCTGAAGGTGAACAGTGAGGCATAATGAAGACCATGCCTCGTTCATCCTGGTTCCCACTAACCCAGGGCAGCTGAAAGGTGTAAGAGCTCTTACAGATTAATAATTTAATGATTATATATAACAGAACATCATCATCTGACAGAGACAGCATTATAAGCTATGTCAGGCCTCACAATAATTTTTTTTTTCCTTCCTTTCTCTGTAGGCTATAAAATGTCTAACAGGGAATAAAACCGCTCCTTATCACCAACAACAGAAGCCCTGCAGATCTTCATGCAGTCTCCTGGAGCACAGAACGCCAGATCCAAGCCTGACAGTTGAGGCGCCTGATCACAAGACATTGGGAAGTTGCTAATAAGGCTGCAGTTCTGGTTCACAAGGAGCAAGAGCATGTGCCGTTAGGGACCTGGTATGCTTGTTTTGTAGAGGGCAAAAGCCAAGCATTCCCTCCAAATTTGAGTCCAGTATGGTAGGCAGAAGGAAAAGGAGGCAGTAAAATACAGTTTACATTTTATTTCTGGATGGCTGCCTATCTTCTAGACAGCCAAGAGCCGGTCTCAAGAGAGACTGTTTTCACACTGTTACTGAACTTAGCAAGCGCTAAAAAGCTCTCAAGAAAATCATTCTCCAGGAGATTTTCAAACTAGAAGTGTTGGATACGCTTAGAGAAACTTTCAGCATAGAGCACGGACACTACCTGAAAATTTTGGATCAATTTTCATTCTTCCCTTTGATCTGTTTCCCCTGCTCTTACCTACCACTCCGATGCCACTTGATCGCTTGTCTAGCAGAGAATTTCAGCACATGTCAGTATTGCTTTACTAGCTTCCAGTTGATTCTGTAAGTCATTCATACCAGACCCCTTCATTCAGTAATATGAGAACAATAACTAAAACAGGAAGGTATTGTTTGGGTTGTGATTCTTCTATAGGAAATGGAAATTGATACATATGGAAAGGTGCAAGAGGAGCCCAGAAATCACATACACACACACAAAAACCAAACTAAAATT